GGTGGGTATAAGAGTCAGTGTCCATGGTACTGTCTGAAAAATAAACACAGACACATTAAAGGAAAAACCTCAATAAATGAGAAAGTATGACTGCAGATTCTTCCATACAGGAACACTGCATGATCCAATTAAGCTCTGTGGCCCGTATAAACTGCTGAGCCCGTCCAGTTGATTCTGATTTTATCAGAGGAATATTATAGTAAGGCAGTGTACAGTCTGCACAGATGTACAGCTTCAGTAGAAGAAGAAGAGAAAATAGACATTCAGTCATACTGTCAATGCATTTAGTACTAAACTACCAAACATTTCATTGTAAGACTTGCAACTATGTTGTATACCTAATATAATAAATATTAATATAAAAATAACTTAAATTGTACAAGAAATAAAAGAAAGACACCTTCGGGGTCTGCTAAACTATTGGAGTAAATTTAAAATCTTTAAATAATAGTTTTGCTAATTTTATTTAACGATTTTTAAAAGTTGACAAATACGTTTTAAAAACAGTATATATAAGAGTATTAAAGGGGGATTATCTTTTAGACCAAATCATTTTCATCAATCATCAAGATGTTAATCAAGTTAAGTATTTACATTTAATCTGCAGAGAATTTGATTATTATTAAAAATGAGTAATATGTTTCTTAAATATATATTTTTCAACATTTTTAAAAGGTTCTTTTGGGAATCAAACCAAAAAAAGAAGTTACATTAAAATAATCTATAAATACTTATAATTAATACATAATATGTTCAGTTGGTTGGAGGCATCTTCAGTAAGAGTGTCAGCAGAAGTAGTAAAATACTCAAAACAAAGTACCTTTAGGTTTGTTAATTAAGTAAAAACAGTAAGAAGTGTTTGTTTTTATTCCGCCGGCAGTGCTGCGGTCCTCCGAACCAGAAGGTGGCGGTAGTGCACCAAAACCAACCGCAGTAAAAACACACGAAGAAGAAGTAGAAGAAGCCTGACCATGCGAATTTTTCCAGAATGGTAACCGGCGTTATGTTATAAAAGTCCTAGTTATTCAGTGTAATATCAGATAACATTACACCCACAGTGGAGGGAAACGTCCACTCGGCTCTATTGTTGCCATATTTAACCTTACGTTAACCGCTGGTGTGTAAAAAACAGCTATAAAGTGGCTAAAACGAAGCTAACATTAGCGTGTAGCTCGTCATCTTAACCTGTCAACAACTTATTGTTTTTATATTCGGTCCTTTTAACGACGCAGTGGGAGTTAGTTCAGCTATCAGGCGTGACAGCGGCAGGGTTGAGCTCATGGCTGTAT